AAGTTGATGTATTTCCTCAGCGACCAGCACGGATCAGCTCCAGGCATGACGAAGCGGATATCGTCCTCTTTTGGAAGACCAAACAAAGTAGTTTCGCTTTCACAACGAAACACACGGCAACAACAATACTACAGTGAGAATCAAAGTTACGCCTTCTTTCTTTGCGTGAACATTTGGGCGGCGTTATGCAAATCTTCCCACATCGTGACGTAGACATGTGGGGGCGTGTTAGAACGAGCCATTTTAGGTAGGTGTGGTTGACTCTTAACTTTTATAAAGAATATCTCTTTGGATTTGAGACTTTAGTCTTTGCAACTTTACAGATCTTCTTTATGCACCAAGAGCTTGTAACACTCCAAAGAGAAAGGAAAAATTGAAATCGCATCATATGACCCCTTTAAGCATAAAACCACTCCTGTTACAGTTTAAGATTACTGAGTATATGAGGTAAAATTGGTAACACTTTAGAATAGGGAACACTTATTCACTATTAACTTGAGAAATTAAAATTAATTGTGGTCTGATGTTCAATCGAAGTGGCATATCAGAATGGTCTGCCCTAATTTAGTCAAGTGTATCTGCACAACAACCAAATTTACAAAGGTTTGGCTCATGAATATTGACAACTCAATTAATATTTATGAGCTAAGACATCGCCATGTCATGATGTCACAACCAGTCATTGAAAAGTTCCATTGCTGCTGATATATTGTGATTGCTGTTTTTTTAAATCCTCCAACATTTATTAATCCAAGATCCTAAAATTACCCGAAGTCACCTTTTACACCCACACAAATCACATTCACTGTGTTAATCCAGTGCACTCTCTAATGCCACTCCTTCAGATGAGTGGATGATTGCACACAGATCCAATCACTACTGCAGATTTACTGTTCTCATCATGTCTGACCCTCTCTCTGTGTGTGTGTGTTTTGACTTGTATCAGTGCATAATTAAACATCTTATCACCATTGCATGTGTGAGAAAATATGCTGAGATGTGTTGAACACCCATCTGTCACCATGTACTGTAGATGTGTGTGTAGATGAGTTTAAAAGTACACGTGAGTGTGCTGTTCTTTCTTTTTACCTAATTGTAATGGGGTAGTTTACCTTAAAATGAACTTTTGTAATCATGTACTCATCCTCATGTCATTGTAAACCTGTATGCACACAAATAAAGTCATTTTGTAATGTTAACTCTGTCAAACTCAAAAAAGCACCATAAAAGAGGTCCATATGACTCCTGGCAATATATTTTAAATCTTCTGAAGTCATATCATAGCGTTGCATGTAGAAGAAACCAAAATTGATGACACAATTTACTGAAAATCTTCATTTCAGTTGGAAGTTATTTGTATCTAAACTTGAATTTTCAAATTTGGAATCTGCGATACTGTATGTACATTTTCACTGTGTTTCCAGAGACGAGCGCTACGAACAGCTTCTGAGAAGCTGCGCAATCGGACGTCATTTTCGGCGGGCATGGTGCAGAACTCTCCCGGGACCAGAGTGAACCGTTACATCGGCCGTCTGATAGAAGCACGACAGACAGAGTCAGAGACGGCAGACCTCAACTTCATTACCCTCACATACAGGAGCAGAGAGAGAGAGCAGAGAGTGAGTAAACACTTGACCCACAAGGCTGGCTTAAATGTTTAAAGCATCTGCATGATGGGTAAACATGTATGTGAGAGCAGGACTAGTTGTCACATGGGGACAGAGAGGGTTTGAACCTTTTAAAATAGAATGAGTTCTTGCTACAGCTGCTGGATAAATGAGTAATCACCATAAAACCACAAAGACATACATCTGACCCCCAGATTTTAATGTCATAAATAAATGTCTGGTTTTAAATGTTATACATTTATTGAAATAATTTTTAATTGAAATGTTTGTTGGCCAAAACAAAGGTATGATAAAGTTTCCTTTTACATTTTTGCTGTGCCATGAATTTTTTATTTTTTTTCTGTTTTGTTATTTAAATATTTTACTGTTTAAAGGGGTCATATGATGCTTTTTTAAAGATCATTATTTTGTGTATTTGGTGTAACAGAATATGTTGACAGGCTTTAATGTTCAAAAAACACATTATTTTCCACATACTGTGCATTATT